TTTTGCCAGTTTTCTTATAGCCCAAATGACAGGCCTAATGTCACTAATCACTGTGGCCAAAATGAGGAAGGGACTGAAATCTGAAAAGGTGCTTATTAAACTGACCTCCTTTTCAGATGGTTTACACATAGGAGTGAAGCATCTTAAAAATGCAGTACGATAAAGCTCTTAGTCTAAAGACAATTATCCACTTAAGTGCTCAGAGCCCCTGATAGTTTTTGAAATGATCCTGCCTGAATGTTATATGGCTTTAATGGAGGAATGAATTTAAGATGTAATAAATGTTAAGTGTAACCATAATAATGCACAAATATAAGCTACCACTGCAAGAATCCAGGATCCTCTTTTTGCAACATCACATAGCTTGACTAAAAAGTTAATTACAAATGTCCCATTCTTTTTCTGATACATAGAATCAAAAACTGATTTACACCAGATATCCTGTAACATTCTTGACATATCCAACTGCAGAAGAAGCCAAACTACTTATTCCTATCACTACAGATCAATATTTTAATAATCAGGAGTACATTATAAATTAGCCCAAATAGGACTTCCAAGGACAGCAATGGCAGACTGAAGACAGCTCCACTTTTGTGGAGCTGACAACTGCGGCAAAAAGAGCTGGTGAATAGATTGGCTCCTCGGAACCCCTCTCTGGATTAAGGAGATGACAAAGATCACCCACAAGTTTATTCCATGCAGAATCTCCCTGCAAAGAGAGAGTAAAATAACAATCTCCAGCAGGTCTGAGGGTACTGGGAGCTGGGGGAAAAACATCGTGCCTAAGCCGCAGTTCGGTGCCTTTCAAAGAGATGCTGGGTTTGCCTACGTCTTCTCTTAAATACTTTAGGAAACTACTTTTTACTGATTTCTTAGAAGTTAAGAATCTTCCAAAGGGCAAAATTTATTACGCCAGGAGAATCTCCTTCTACCTTGGATGAAAGAAGCTCCATGTAAGTGTAAGGATAAAAAATAAAAGATTTACTGTTTGGAAAACAGCAAAAGTGAGACTAGAATGTGGATTTTGGAAAGTTAAGGGGCTAGATGGACTTGAAAGAATATTTTCTGTGGGACATTTAAAAATTTATTAAAGAATATATGAAGTTTCTGAAATTAATTGTAAGAAATCCTCCCATGGGAAAGTTTTGTTGATTGGAAAATGAACAGATGATAAGAGGGGACTTGAAAGTTGTCTAGAGGGAACCAGAGAGAACAAACAATTACAATTAAAGGAGCAGTATTATTTGACTATAGCAGAAATTAAGGCTGTTTGGGAACAATGTACTCAGAAATTACTTACAAGATTGTCTGATTCTATAACAGAGATATAGAACAACAGATTTTATTGAACAAAGCAGAGATTGAGGCTGATTGGAATGTGGACTTGGAGTTTAAAAAAATGCTGGATTATAAAAATGATATGGAAAAAGATGCTGTGGATTTGAAAATGGATTTTAAAATGCCAGAGTATAAGAGTGATATGGAAAAAGATACCAAAATGGATTACAAATGAAACCAGCTGATGTTATAATAACTATATCTTTTTTCTTTCTTTTTAATTAAATACTAGAGAAGGTGTTAAGTTACTGAAATTGTTTATACTTGTCCAGAGGGAAGGGGAAGTAATCTTTTATATAGTCTCTTTTTTCTATCTCTTTGAGCTTTTCTTTTTCTTTTCTTTACTTTTTATATTTTCCTTAGTTTGAATTAGTCTTTTATCTTTGTACTTGTAAACTCTAATAAAATTATTATTAAAAATAAATAAATTGGCCCA